TTCAGCCTGAGTTTGTTTTCCCTCATCCAGCCCATTACTGACCCAAGGAATCCATTCAGGATGGGGATAGGGTTCACTGGCTGCCCTCATTTTATTTATTTATTTATTTATTTCATTTGTATGTCACCTTTCTCTCTGGAGGGACCCATGGTGGCTCACAGATAACATTTTAAAAATTCAATAAAATTTAGAACAATTAAAATCATCTACGAACAATATAAAATCACGTACAAATATACAAAATTGTAAAGCTTAACTAAAACCCACTCATTGCCACCAGCCTCATTTCAAGCCTCCTTCAATCCCATCTTGGGAGAAAGGCCGGATACAAATTCAATGAATAAATAAATACATAAATACAGTAGCACCCCCGCCCCCCACCCCCATGTTCCAAGACTGCCAATAGATGCCTGAAACCACGGATAGTACGAACTCTATACACAGAGATTATCACAGCGATAATAAAACTGGCTTACCTGAGCCAGCTTAACATTTAAAACGGGTGGCATTCTGATTTTATCAGAATGATTTAGCCACCAAAATCACCATCCGGGGCCATCCCAAGACCATCCTCATTCCCAGGGCTGCTCTGGCAGCCATTTCCTTAAGCCACAAAACTCCTGGCTTTGAAAAAAGCCATGCAAAGTGGCCCTGGGAGTGGGGCCTGACTTGGGCTGGACCCAGGCTGCAATTTCAGCAGCGAAATCCTTCTGATAACATCAGGATGCCACCCATTTTATATTTAAAGCCAGCTCAGGTAAGCCAGTTTTATTATCACTGCATTAATCTCCCATTTAATGTTTTTGGACCACAATTGGTAACTAAAACCGCAGAGAGCAAAACCATGGATAAAATAGGGCTAAGTAATATTTTTGGACTATGGCTGACCATAGGTAACTGAAACCCCAGAAAATGAACATGTAGATATGGCTGGACCACTGTAAATTTATCACCTTTTTCCTTGAACTGGGGCTCAAGGCAACTGAAGACCACCTCAAAGTACACACAAGCCACACACAGCTTGCTGCTGCCTTTAGGAATTGCTGCTGCCTTTAGGAATTGTGAAAAGACCTCATTTCTGTTTGAAAGTGCTACACTTTTGTCTTTAAAAACATACTCCGCCCTAGTACACACATTGCGCACTTCTGATTTATCTGGGGTGTTTAACAGCTGTAACCTTTAATCCTGCCCAGAAATAAAGGAGGCCATGCAGCCTGGGATTTAACTTGTTCAAGTCAGTATCCCAGTTTAAACTGGGCAGTGGCATTTAGACTTGTTTAACTGGAGTTTGATTCAGAAATGCAGTGCTTTTGACCATGGGAAAGGAAGTTATTAGTTTTTAAAGAAATCAGAAACTGGACTTCCTGGGGTCTATGGAGACTCTCTGGAGTTGTGGTGAGTTGCCTGGCAGAAGGAAAATGAAGACAGACATGCATACATACTCACCCCCATGTGGATAAAAATTGCTGGCCATGCTGAGAGTTAGCTGATTGCCACCAGCTAGTCATCATCCATCTCTGCATGCTAGAGGGGAAGAAAATCAAATTTCAGAGAGGTGTCCACCATTTGCTAATCTTATTTTCCTCCCTGATGGTTCTTATTTTATTGCGCTCTTTCTTTAGGGTGCTTTTTTCATAATCCAGACCTCACTTCCATTTGCTTGTGTCTTTTGTATGAAATTCCAGTGCTTGGAGCATTAGGTTTGAAAATTAATTAGATAATGTTAAGTGTTTGAAACTGAGAAATTAATTCATTATGATCAAAACTAATAATTGATTTGGTTGCATTACTGTTAATTAACTTGCACTTTTAACAGTCTCCAGGGCAGACCAGGGGATTTACAGAGAATGGCAGGGAAATTGTCACTATTAATTCTAGGAGCACATCTAATTGTTGCACATTCCCCGATTATACCTTTCTCCAACCTCAGGCATAGCAAAAATCAGCTTACCTTTTTTTATGCAATTCCTGTTCACTTTCTCTGTATGTTTTGTCATTGTTGTAGCAGGCACATACACCTCAGCAACCATGAGACAGTTTCTAAGGTGGGGAGAAGGAAGTGAAGAGAGGAGACAGAGAGCTCTAGAACTCAGCTTTTAGGCAGATGGTATGTATAGCAGAAAGAGGTGCTATCTATAGGATGCTATCTGTGAGGCAAAAGAAAATACGTACACTACACAAACAAAATATTTTTATTCATACACTATGTTGGGGGGTAGCATGACAGCCATATGAAAATGGAAAGGAGATCACAGGGGTAAAAAAGTTTGAGAACCACTGCCTGAATAGATGCTTGGGTTAAAGCAGGGGTGGAATAATATGGCCCTTTAGAGCAGTGGTAACCATCCTTTGTCCTCCAGGCATTTTGGACTTCAGTTCCCAGAGGCCTCAATCACTTTGGTTAACAGTCAAGAATTCTGGGAGATGAAGTATAAAAACCTAGAGGACCAAAGTTTGCTCTATAGGTTATTGAACTACAATGTTGGGCATTCTTCACAATTGGATATGCTGGCCTGCAAGTTTACCACCCCTGTGTTAAAGGGGAGTAAGGAATGCTCCAAGCACAGCAATAAGTGGCTAGCTATAAATATCACTCAGCGAATTGATGAAGGATTAATTAGAAATGTTTGGAGTGCCTCTGAACATATGCAGAATATTTTTCTGCACAAGTGTGTCAGTGCATGCAATCTGCTTCCCCACTCTCTACCAAGAAGTATGATCTCCAAATGTTTTACTCATATAATTATTTGGCTTCCAAATAATAATAAAAAAGAAGACTGTTCTTCCAGGGGTGAGAGAATGTGAATTTAGCTAGTGATTTCTTTTGGCTGTAAGCTCCAGCCTAAGAAAAGACTTCAAAAATGTGTGATCCTATGAAGAAGGAGGAAAATGGAATTGGATAGGTCATGGGAGAAGAGAGAGAAACAAGTCAAGAAATAAGGAAATGGAAATCCCAAGATTCCATAGAATGGAGATATGATATTTAAAATGGTTTTGGGCTGTATGTGTTGTTGCTGTGTGCCTTCAAGTCATTTCCAACTTAAGGTGACCCTAAAGTGACCCAAACATGGGGTTTCTTCAGAGGAGGTTTGCCATTGCCATCCTCTGAGGCTGAGAAAGTGTGATTTGCCCAAGGTCATTCTCAGTCTGTCTTCAGTTTGTATCATTCTGTCTTTTCTCCCATGGCATGTAGCAGCATCAAAACAATGACTCTTCTCAGAACTTGAGCAGGGGGTGAGAGGGTCAAATTCTCCATTCCTACACATTGCTCTCCTGTTCATTAACAACACCTCCACCAAGCGATGCCATTTGTTTTTTCTAACTGACATGTCAAAAGCAAACACATTTGATGTTATATCTAATTTGGGTCTGGTTACAAAGATGTCCCAAAATGTTTGTGTTTCCTCTTTCCTTTTCCAGATCCTGGAATACACACTAATGCATGGGTAAGATTTTCAGGGAGGTTCTTCTCTTGGCCTCACTATGCTCCTAATGACATTTGTTGGGCTTATGAACAAGACTATACTTGGGAAGTGCTGCCAGGCACTGGACATTTCTTCTATGGGAGGAAAAGCCAGCTTCTTGCTGTCTTTCTGCCAGCATGGGAAGATTTTGTTTTGGTTTTGACTACTGTTCTTTCTCTTTGTTGTATCATTATTCCATTCTAATGTTGTAAATATTTGTGGGATTCAGATTTTTTTCCTCATCTTGTGTTTTCATATTGTTAGCCTGTAGGGAATTGGAATATATATTTAATAAGATAAATAAATAACACTAGTTTTCATTGGCTGGATTCCTATTGGTGATACAGGCAGGGATAACCTCTCATTACAACTGTGTCTGTGCTTTTTAAATCATTGTGCAAAGAGGTATTCAATATCTCCTTTCATAATGATCCTCCCAGCAGAACTGACCTTTTCCATGCTCAAGCATGACCCCACAGCCAATTCATCCACCCAGACAGGGTGTTATTTGTACTAAAGAGGAGACATCCTCCTCCTGGATTGCCCTCATACTCATGTGTACTCAGTGGAGTTCCAAGAGGAGAATGTTGTTTCTCTTCTCCTGGCTGCAGACCCACAACTGGATGCTGCCTGGCTGCCTCTTACCCTGCTCCAGCCACCAGTTGGTTTTTGGGA